TACACTATGTCACGGCACACTAGTGTGCCGCGGCACAGTGGTTGAAAAACACTGATCTAGATAACTACTGTAGTAGATGCTAATAAAGAGTTGAAGTTTTATGGATCTGTTTGCTGCCATGTAGTTGATCTAAGATTCTTTGCAGGCATGATCTGGCAATTAATAATTATGTTTCTTAGAAGAAGTTTGCTGAGCACATTTTCATGACAGAATAAAATTTAAAAATAGCATTCAGAGAATCTCTCTTCTATATTGTAAGCTTTGTGCTTACATTTTTACTGGGGAAACAGCAAAATATATATATCAAATGGGATAGTGAGGGGAAAATCAAGCTATTAATGTTCATGAAGGACAGGTACTGCTTGAATTACAACAATCTGATTGTTGATTTAATGGCCTTCAAGGTACTTCAAACCTTTGCAAAATGTTGCACATATCCCATGGGGGTCACATGATTGCAAACTGGACGCTTGGCAAACTGTTTGCACTTATAACTGATTGCTAAGTATCCGATTATTACATGATTTAGATCAGTGGTGGGTTTCCATTTTTTTTTTTACTACCGGTTCACTCATCTGCACATGTGACGCTTCTGCGCAGGCTACATGCAAGTATCTCTGTTCAGAGCTGAAAATCCTGTTAGGATTTCAGCAAAGAGAATTGCAGCTCATGAGCAAAGATACATTCATATCCAGCTTACACTGGACCTCCCAGGATCTCCTCCATCTCTGTGAATTAACCTGCACTCCTTACCTGAGACTCCATCCACTTAAACCACTAGTCATTTAACAACCACAACCAGGAATGCTGGGATTATGGTCATTGAGTAAAGCAGTCACATGATATCTTACTTAAAGTCTGCTTCCTCAACAACCAAGATTCCAATCACAATTGTGGTGAGAACTGCCTGTTAGACGCATATGAAAGATTGTGTCTGATTAAAAAAGATTAAATTGATTAATCTCCCTGAAGATTTGGACATCAGATATTAAGTTTCTATTGGCTGCTTTACCAATTTATAATAAAGATGTAAAGTGAGAAAGTGAGCAGTTTTATGGTTCTCAGCAAATTTCTAGATATTCTCTCACATTTATTTCTTTGTTTGATGGTATATTTATTTATAAAATACATAAACCATCCTATCTATCATGACTTCACACACATTGCCTTATGAAAGCCCAGGGAATGATTTCTTCAGTCAAGTGAAAGCTGAGGTAGAGGCTAAAAAATTAAACTTGGATGCAAGTATAATGCAGAAGACATAGAATAACATGTTAATAACACATTTTCAGGAGAAGAAAATTTAGCATGACAGAGTGACTGCCCATGAAATATAAGCAAAATATCTTCTGAGCAACACTACCCGAGGTGATTAGTGGTGGCATGTTGTCCAATGCACCACTGAGCTGCAACTGTTTAGTGCTCTGAGATGTATTATTATGAAATGTTTGGTTATTCTTGGACATGTTTTCAAAAGGTGAATCATTCCGAAGAATATTTGACAGTGCAAATACTATGATACCTGATTTTCATCAAAATGATATGCACAACTCCCAAAATATAATTAAAATGGCTAACGTTCCCTGCATAAATTTGTTAAATTTATTGCTTTTAATAATTTATAATGTAAAATACAAAAATACAAAAGCAAATAATAGGAACAATAAGGGAGGAAAAAGAAAAGTGAAAAAACTACAAAAACCCATAATCAATGTTTCATTTTTTTCCACCTCAAACACAAAATCCAGAGTGGTATCCAAATAGAGACAAAAGTATTTGTGTGTTTTTTTCTTTTATCAAAGCAGTCAATTTCTCTATCTCTACAAACTCCATCTGCTTTTGCAACCATTCATCCATTCCGGAACTGAAGGGACCTTCCATTTTTATGCATAAAGTAATCTTGCTGTCATCAATATATATAACATCAAAGTTTCAAATTTTTTTCCAAGTCTTTTTCCATTAAACCCAAAAGAAAAATTTCTGGTTTTATCTTTATATTCATTTTACGAATGTTATGGATGAGAAGATGAATCCTACTTTGACATTTCTTTGCCCCTGCATAAATATGAAAATACATATCTATATATGTATAAAATACAAGGCTGAAAAGACTGATTATTATGTCAGCTTCCATTTTGTGCTTTCATGAAGGACTTTAAAATAAATTAATATAAATTAAATAAGTTAAAATAAATATCTTGGAGTAAAAAGTAGTTATTTTGCTCACAAACTCTTTAAAGTGCAATATATTCTACTAAAATACATGCAAGGATTATGGAAAAGAATAATAGTGAAAGATACAGCTGACAAAAAAACATCTGAGCTCCCCTTTTGGTAAATGTCTTAAAGATAATCAATTTTACCATTACCAAAGATAACAAAAATACCATGTTGTGAAATACTTCAGATTAGTTGTTTAAAACTGAAGTAATTCATAATCATAATAGTGCAAAATCCAGAAAATAGATGGCAGTTAAAAGATGCAGAAAACTCTAACCCTTTATTGCCATCTTCTGCTGGTCTGGATCTTTCCACTCCAAATCTGGTAGCCCTATTTAATGACCTTTTAATCTGTTTTTATATAAACTTTATTATGTAGTGAATTGTACAGTAAGATTTTTTTTTAACCCAACAATATCAGACCCTTCATTTAATCTTTTTGGCTACACTTGTATAACTTACTATCCATAGCGTGGAGATATTCCATATGAAGGGCACCTGCTCTTGATGTGGCAGCTGAAGGAATGATGTCTGCATATGGGCTGCGCTGGCCTGCCAGTAAAGCCATCTGATGGTAGTATTCTGCTGGACTAACCCCTGCATGTGGAGCTAAAGTAGAACATTAAATACATGATTTAATGACATTAGAAACAGGAATCTCTCTCTCCCTCTGCATTGATTTTGAAACATTATGCAGGTCTGATGATTTGCTATGTATTTTTAATATACTGTATCAATGCATAATATCCTATATAACCTTGGTTACATTTAATTCCATTGACATCTATTTAACCAAATAATCAATGCTAACTGTATCTCATTAATTTCAGTGGTCTAGCAGTCTTCATGTAAACCAGGCATAATTGAACAGTAAAAAAATGCAACAAACATGATCTGGATTTAATTCAATGATGCAATTTTCTTTAAAATGCCAGATTTCTGATATGTAAAAAAATCACATCAAGATAAATCACTTCAGAATCCAAATGAAAATCTATGGGGTGAGCTGAAGAGGGCTGAACAAATTTCTCTGGCAATTTGACAGATTTGGAATGCTTTTGCACGGAAGAGCAAGTAAAAAATTCCAAGGCTACATGTACCATAGGCTCCTACTCCAAAAAATTGAATGTTTTCATTAAGTCAAAAGGTGATTCAACAAAGCATTCATTTAAATGTATGCATTTTTATGCAGCCACATTATTTTGGTTTTTTAAAAATTATTATTATTTTTCTCTTAAAAATCCCACCACCTGACAGAAACATCTGAAACTGTCAAAGCTGTTGGCTTTGATGAACTAATATGTATGGCATAAGTATTTCAATAGGTATCCAAGTTCTAAGAAGCATATAACTACTGTATAGGATATTATTTGTTTATATATATGGCAAATACTGTAATACCGATTAAATAATTTTTACCACTAGCCAGAAAGCAAAATAAAAATCCATCATATATTTTTGAATGTGAATTAAGTATATTTAATGGGTTTCAGCATAAAATGTATCTTATATCACTTCACTAATATTGCATATTATCAATAAAATGTTAAGGAAACCAACTGGGATTGGTAAATTTTGAAGCTTTGTAGTATTTGACCTAACAGTCCTTTTCAGATGCACTTAAAAATACCTCAAAAGCTTTCAGATATGTATATAAATTAACATTATCTCAAAAAATTCAAAAGTAAGTTTGGGAATTCTGCAAAGGTATGAAGGGATAATGTTAAAATATTCAAGTAGCCTTTTGTTGAAAGAAACTATAGTTGTAAAGAGGCGAAGCCTTCACTTTTACATAATATAACTATACAAATCTGGAATATAAGAGATAAGGAGCTAGTTTTACTACAAAGTTTGTACACATATCATTGTAATAAGAATTTATTTCTGAAGCCCTAAAACACTGACCTGCTTCAGATAATCATTTGAGACTCCATAATGTGATTGATCATCTTCTTACTTTTTTTTCTTGTTCTCCTGCAGCATGACAATCCTGATTTTTATTAGACTTTTATTATTCTGCTGTTAAGCAGAAATTGGGTAATTCGGGCTTAAAATTAAAGAAGGCTTATTTTCAAAGTTTTAATTGACAGTCAAATTCAGATGGGCACGATGACACTATTTCCCCTCAGTGACCTTACCCCCTCACAGAGCTCAGTCTGCTTCTGAATCAATCACTGGATTTGCAGATGACGGTTGTCCACAATTAATATGCACCAACTGTGACTGAATCCTGATTTATTAGTAGTTATCCATGCTTTAGTTACATCTTTTGAATATTCCAACATTTTTTACTTAGAAAGAATTGTACAAACTGCATTAAAAAAAGATGAAAGGATCACATGATGTCTAATTATAAATCTTCATTTTCTATTGCATACCCTTTTTGTGTATGTGTGCATGTGAATACTTACATTCAGATCATTCTTTGTTCTTATCAACTGCCTGGACTAGTTCTTAAAGGGTTTTTTGGGAGGGTGGGGTGGGGAGACAGGGTTTCAAAAAAGACCATTGCCTCCTTAAAAGGGCTGAAAGAAAAAGTGACTCATCAAGAGTCACCTAGCAGCTTTGTAGCCAAGGCAGGACTTAAACTCAGCGTCTCCTGATTTCTAGCCTCATGCCTTAACCCAGGGCTGTCAAACTCATGGCCTGCAGACAGAATGCATCACACCCTGGCCACATCCACATCTGGTTTAGTGAAACTTGGGGGTCATAATTCCATTTTTTTCTGGAACCCCCAGTTTCTCAGGAGGTATAGGTCGCAGGATACAGCTACATGACTATTTTAAGACATTTTAAAAAGGTAAAATGTATTCTTTAGTCCCTTACTATTGCACAAAATTGGTAAAACAGGATCAGAGCTTTAAGGATAAACTGAATATCTTTAGCTTTTGTAAGATTAAAAGCTCCTATTTTGTTTCACTAAACCCTAATCTTGCAAAACTTCAGGAAATAAACTAATTTTACAAACATTTTTGTTCATTACATTGAAAATGTACACCAGAGACCTCAGAAAATATGCTGGAAATATATTGTGACTACATACAAATATTAGCTTTAAGTATTTGCCAATACTTTCAACTTTTTCCTTTGAGTCTGATTCATGAAAAAATAAATTAAAGCAATACAAAATTAGACATTGAAGTAAGTATCTTTGAACAAATTTAGTCTAATATAAGTAAATACTGTCAATTTACAAAGCATGTATTGAACCTCAATTTGAGAAGCATAAATTGAAATTAAGAATACTAACTTTACTGATAAATGTTAATTTAATTGTGGGAATTATCAAAAATAAGTGTTCAAGTGCTGAGAGTTTTAAAATCATATACTACTTTTTAACACTTAAAGAAGAATTCATTTGTGGAGTTGAGAGATTGTGAAATCCTATATTTTCCTAAAATTAGCTTATTTCAAACTTTCTTTAGAAATTCTGGACAAATTCTTTAGAAATTGAGAGAGAATAACATGAATCTGCTTGTTTCAGGCTCTAAATCCTTCTAAACCACTTTATTGACACATCTTGGCAAACTAATGGTTTCACTGGGATCCTTTGCCATTACCCTCCTGAATGTCAATTTATTTTATATACAAAGCATCAAAACAATTTAACAAGATTTAATTAATGTAATTAAATCTTGTATTTACTAACTAGGCTGTTCTTTTCAAAAGCATTTTTATTTACTCTGGTTATATAAATTATCATTATGACTAAGACTACATTGCCTATTCTAATATCAAATATGAGTAAATGTTGAATTTATTAAGCTTCCTTGTTTGGAACTTTCTTTTTGTTAATATTGGGTTGTTGTTTTTTCATTTTGATTAGGGTGGGTATGTGTGTGTGTGTGTGTGTGTGTGTGTGTATGTATGTCAGTCATTCATATATTCATATAAAGATATATAGTAAATTGTATCTGATTCAAGAGTAAGTCTAATACCCAAAGGCAGATTATAAATTTAAGCTATTTAAAATATACAGTTCTTATAAAAACATGAAACTGTAAAAATACAAGAAATTACAGAGATCAGATTTAATTATAATTAATCTGATATCTAAAAGTGTCATATTTTTAAAATCAGATTTTATTGTTTAAAAATTGCTTTATAACATCTTACAATTATTTATGGAATTCTTAATATAACTGTTGGAAATTAATAAATTTTAAGCAATAAAACATTTTTCTATCACTAATAAAATGTCCTGCTATACATAATATAAATTAGGATTGACAACAGGTCATTAAAACATATTCTCATAAGAATAAGTATCACTGGATTAATTATATGCATTTATAAGTAAGTATTATAGTTATTATTTATTCATTTAGGCAGTAAGAACAACTCATTTTTCAAATTCAACTAAAGGAAGAATATCTGTTATGTAAACCCGCCATTTTATTCTATTCTGTGAATGACATTTCCCTTAATTAAAATAGTTTTGTTGTCTTCAATGCACACTAGTAACATAATTTGATCCATTATAAGTCAATTTAGCAGCAATTACTATTAGGCAAAATTTAAACTGCAGTTATATTCCTATTCATTTAACACAGCAGCAGCCAAAAAAATGAATATGCTTTTGCTGGAGATGAAATTTCTAGTAAAGTCAATGTGTGATTCACACATTGTTTTATTTTGGATTAATATGACAAGGGAAACCAATCATTTATATTTTCTAACATATGATTTATGATTTAATTGTTATCTGTGAACCTAGATAACACCAGCCATCTTTTATTCCTCTACAATATATAAATGTTATTTTACTTTGAATAGATGTTTAAGGAATTGTTTTCACAAATTGAATGAATCCTTTTAGTTACCCAGGAATGCGTATTTTTTTACTTTATTACTGGCTCTTATCTGCAAGTATTAAATAAAAGCAAACATGATAATTTAGTCTATGTAATGAATTGCTATAAGAAAGATTTTCAGAAAAGGATTTGTTACACTTATTAATTTTTATAAATATATTCATCATGTAGTTTTGGATTTTCAATTATGTAATGCTGAATGACCTTCCTAAAAAAATGTACTCAGAATATACAAAATCTGCAAATCAAATGGGTGATAAAACTTTCCTTATGTCACCTGAGATTTATTGTATAAACTCATCAAAAAGATATGGATATGAAAACCATGTAGTAACAATGATCATCTTTTAAATAATAGATGATACTGATAAGGAGATCTCTAACTTTACAGCAAGGACAATCATAACCAAACCTCCAGTGGCACAGTTCAGTATTGCAGACAAACTCTGCACATAGCCTGGAGTTTGATCCTGATGGGTCTCAAGGTTGACTTACCCTTCCATCTCCATCTTTCCGAGCTTGGTAAAATGAGGACCCAGATTGTTGAAGGCAAGATGCTACTGTGTTTGCCTGTGCCTGAGTTTTGGGCTTGAAAATAAGCACTCAGGCTTATTTTCGGGGAGGTCTTTTTTTTCAGTACAGGAGGTGTCGAGTGTGGGGGCTGATGGGAGTGGGAGTACAGCTACCACTGGCCCCATCCTCTCGGCATGCTTTGTTCTGTTAATACTGTTAATTCTGAGTATGGAGGCAGAGGCAGGGAGGAGAAGACAAGCAATCCAGACATGCTGCTTGGCT